CTTCGGAAGGATACGGCGGCCTCCCTTACCGCTATGAACCTGTAGGAAACCCGATGAATTACGAGCCCAACCCCCATCTCTCCCAAGCCAGAGGGTGTCAGTCCCCACGGCGGCCTTATCCCGAGGCCCTGAACCATGACCCGGTGATGGAGTATTACATCTACGAGAGCGCCGACCCCCATCTGAGCAACATTGGGCATGAATACCACAACCGCCTGTTGCCGGTGCACACACGGAGTGACACCAATAAGCTGAGTCAGGGGTCCTCGGAGGTTGTCTACGGGCATGCCCATTACTTAAGTAACAGTATGATATCTAATATTCCATCAGATGAAATCATTTTTTATTATGGAAGTGGAATGCAATGCGATCCAAATGAGTATAATACGAATGATAAGTTCAATTCAATGGAGTAGTTTTTTTTATTTTCTTATTATTTTGTTCTCCTCAATTTCTCCATTGTTGGTAACCAAAACTATCTGTACTTTCCTCGGAAGAGGTCGTACAGAACTGGCGCAATCTGCTATTCGATGCTCATGATTCCGTGTAGTGTATCAACGCTTTTGATTTGATCAATGTGAAGCATCAAATAAATTATTCATTTTTGCTCTCACTGAAAAGAAATCAACACTTCGAAGAATGACATTATCAACAATAAAGCGATCCTATGTTATTTTCGTTGCGCAGAAATGAAAAAGATATTTGTGCACATTTTTTATAACCATTTATAATGTTGAAATAATAACATTATCATAATTATCCTTAATAATTTTGTTTATAACATTACTTTAGGGTATTTTCCTTTTTTTTATCTGTATGTACTAAAAGGCTTTTAATTACTGTATGCTCTGATGGAACACATGCGTATATATACATCAAAAGCTTCTCTAGGTTTACCATGAGCTTTCACTGATCTAAAGTGAAAAAGAAAATGAAAAAATACATGAAAACAATAGTTAGTGGAAAGTCTAGGGTGATTTCACGAAGTGAAATCTTTATTCCGCATTGAAAAAAATATTGAAAACTTATAGAATACGGAGCTCTAAATCAAAAAATTTCATTATGATTTAAGAACAGTAATTCATAATATATTCACGTCAGCGCTAAATTTTATTCGCTAACGTACTGAAAACATATTTAAGTCACAAAAATACATATTAATAACATCATTATTACACGCAACCATTTTGTGAATTTTTCTATACACACTTTGGTACTTATAAAGGAAATGTATATATCTTTATATATACATCATTAATAGTTGCTCCCTTTCAGGAATATTCAAATAATATTCACTACTTCTTAAATTATTTATAGAAGTGCCAAACACAAAAAATGACAAGTAAAACTCTTGTATAAATTTATGTGACTTAAATTATAATTATTTTTTATTATAAATACATGTATATCCGCTCAATGGATAATTTCATGCATAAAATAACCAATGATGTTCGTATTTTTTATTAGTCATCAATTTATGTAGTTCTGTTCATCATGAATTAATGCATATTATTCTACATTACTGCACCGATTGTTTGCGTTAATAATTGAAAAATTAGGGAGCTTAGGAAATTTGGAACTATCTGAGGAATAGAAAGAAAAAACATATTTCGCTCTTTCTGTAAGGTCTCATATCCTCATCTTTCTAAATTTATGGAAACAAATACACACACCTTTTTTATCTCTCCTTTCCCTTTCCCCCCCCCC